TGGTGTAACAATAACGTAATTTTGAAAAAGGGACTATATTTGAGTTTAGGGTTAACTCTTTTTTGTTTTCATTTTCGTTTAAAAAATTGTTAATCATTTACAAAACATTTTCGTTTTCATGTCTTAAAAGAGCACTATATGTGCTTAGTCGGTGGGCAGTACTAATAAAAGATGAAATCTTTTATTAATAAGTGGTGAACACCATTGTTCTATTTAAAATAATACTAAATGACACAATATTTTTGCTCATTGCCGTCGCCATTTCCACTCCTTGTTCGAAAAAACAAAAGACCCATTTTAATTAAAATTTAAATTTTTATAAAAAAAAAACATTATAACAAAATTGTTTGAACCAGGGTCTGAATTTCTTTACCAAACATGCTAAAATAACTCAAATAGGTAAACATGGGGTTCTTTTCCTCCTATTCTTTTTCTCTTTTACTTGGAATAAATATTTTTGGATTGAAAAATTTTTCATTCAACGTAACTTTTCTGCATAATTTTAAATTATCATGTGATGGGTACATGATTATTTTTGTTAAATTTTAAAAACTATTCGTCAATTTTAATGTTAAGGACAAAACTTATAAAAAAAAAAAAAAGTTCACAGTCTAATGTGCTTATAGTTTAAGGAGTATTGTAGAGCCCGTTTAGTTCGTTAATTCGAGTTTTTAATTTGAATTAAATTTGATTTTATGTGAGAACTTTTTACTGTAGTAAAAAAATTAAATGTGACTATTTTTTAGAATTTTTTACTGTAGTAAAACTCAAATTTTAAATTTGAATCGGTGAAAAAAATGAACCAAGTGCTAAAAGATTGAGAGGCAATGAAAAAAGCGATCAATTACTAAAAAGGCCTAGGGATTGTGACGCCATTGTAATATTTTATTTCTTTTTTTGTTTTTTTCAGTTCGAGAAAATGAGCTTCTATGGCTCAAGCCCAAACCAAATCCAATATTTTGCCCATTGTAACCAGCACCGCCCTCTCCATTCCGTGTTCGAGAAAAACAAACAAAAAATGAAAGCCTTTGTACTCGTGTATATATATATATATATATA